AGTTTATCATGGAATTTATGGTCTACTAACGAACCCTTGGCTTTCACAGTAGTTAGAATCAAAGAAATCACGATGTGATACAGACGCGGATAATACAGTGAGCTCTATCTATATTATACAAGGTGTCCCATAACTCCTAATTAATAATTTTCAAAGAGTGAAAGAGGATGGAATTTTGATTAAAAATCCTTTTCCAATTTTGGCTCAGATCATTATTTACCGAGTTATTAACGATTAAAATTGATCAATCAGATCAGATTGCGGAGTACGCAGAAGCGTAGCGTGCTTTGAGACTCCTCGCACTTTCTGCACATTCTTTCTATTAAAATTTTATTCTAATTTATTATGGGTACAAAAAAAGACTACTGGCAAAAAACATTATCAAAATAAATTGTTTGTAAATAAATTATTTAAACGATTTCTTCAAAAATTGTTTTGACATGTATCATGTATGGTTCTTACGTATTTTTTTTTGTAGAAATCGATGGATTATCAGTTTCCAATTAAAATTAGTTTTTTTAAGAAATTGTTTAAATAAATTGCTTGTGAAAAATTTATTTTGATTATTTCATAACGTTGGCATGTATGATTCTTATGTATTTTTTCTTGCAATTCGATGGCGTTATCGTTTTAAAATCAGAAATTAACGAATACGTAAATAATTTAATCTATGTAATTAATTTAATAATTAATTTATTTATAACAATATTAATTTATTTATAATATTTATACATAAGAACCATGACACGTGTCAAAATAATTTTTGAAGAGGTCGTTTAAACAATTTATTTTGATAATATTTTTTGCCAATAGTCTTTTTTTGCATAACAAATATTTCGTAATTATTTTTTCCCCATCACTGTTAGGTTAGCTATGAAAATTAAATAATTAAATTATACAAATCAATTAAATAAATAAACAAATAAATAAATAATAAATAATATTAAAAAATCATCAGAAATTGGATAAATTTCTAATTATAACTTTTCTCACTTATTTATTTATTTATCTATTTGTTTATTTATTTATTTACTCATTTATTGATTAATTAATTTCATTTTATTTATTTATTAATATAAAAATTTTAATCGGGAGAATGTACAAAAAGCACGAGGGGCCTCATAGCACGCTATGCAATCTGATCAACTTTAATCGTTAATAACTCGGTAAATAATGGTCTGAGTCAAAATTGAGAAAGGAACTTTTAGTTCAAAATTCCATCCTCTTTCACTCCTTATTAATTAAAAGTTGTGGGACATCCTGTATACTTGAATGAGTTCTAAAGAAGTGGGAGTAAAAAAGAGATATTTCTATCCAAGAGAAAAAAGAATATTTATACAACATATAAATAAATAAGATAGCAGTAAAAAGGATATCAAGCCATCCAGATGTGACAATGAAGCAAGACAAATAGCGATACATTTGAAGAAGTTATACTTCCCTACAGATAGAAATTTCCTTACAAGTAGGAAAAGCAAACAGCCGATGAAACATATGCTCCATCATAAACTACGCCCATTAAAAGAAGATAGCAAACTTAAATAGTTTTATCCTTTTCACTCGAGTGGACACTTTGCATTTTAAAGTGCCAATAAGACGACAGCAAATGTATGCCTTCTATGCCTATGATGCATAAAGGGCTTGCTCTTTTCGTCAGAGATTTGCCGATTGGTGGTGTTATTAAACACACACGTATCACATATCGTATACGTACACGCACATGCATACGTCTGTTCCGAGAAAAAAAAATATATACGCTACAGAAAATCCATTTAAAAACCGACAACCTACTGCACATTCATTGGAAGATCCCCACCCTGCCGGTCTGCGCGGCACTCGTGCGCGCGGGCGCACGGGGTATTTAATTGCGTGCGTAACTCCCCATCCCACCAGTCGCGTGAGAGCTATCGGTGCGCGTGGGTGGTTAGTACGCACGGTGCGAGCGAGCAGTGTAGTGGTCGACACAAGCCGTCGTCAAACCAACGTGGTGATCACGTGTACGTGAGTGTATCGTGAGAGTGAGTCTCCAGGACCGGTCGGCATCCGCACGTGTTCCGGGCGGAGAGAAGCCACCACAGCAGCAGTGCAGTTGCCCCCGTGCAGTTACACCCGTGGACACTCTGCATCGCCGGCGTGTGATATTACGAGTGTTACACGTAGCGAAGTTTTTTTCCTGCCCCTAGAAAATCATCAGTCGAGTGAGAGGCGACTCTGTAACTTAAGCGAGGTTCGTGGCGTCAGAATTGACAACGTGTTGAATCGGAACATTTGAGTACGATTTCACGACGCTCTCGTCTTAATGGTTTAGTAATATCGTCCTCGCGAGACCGCCAGCCTGATGATAATAACGATGATCTTGAAGGCGCGGTATCTAACGCCGGGGCCAGCATGGCCCAGCGCGGCGTTAGCCGGCTTTTCTCTCTTCCCCCTCTGCCTCTTTCACTCGCTACGCGAATCGCACTCGCACACATTTACGTACCGCCAAGAACGCGCTCGCGCGCCCGCGGGCGCGTACGCGTGCGTACGCACGGTTCTCGTATACACATATAATAATCATATACAAAGGTATGTTCGCCGTCCATGTGTCGGGTAAGCCTCAGAGAGGCATCTTCGAGCCACGCGTTCGTCCCGTCCATCTGGAGTATCGTTGGACGTGACGAGACTCCCCGGCGTCGCGTCGGATTTCGCGGGTTTCGCGAACGCGTCATCGCGGGAATTCACTTTTCTGTCCTCGCGTTGGTTAACGGTATCACAGAATCTCGGTGATCTCTCCACCGCCGCCGTCGCTGCCTCGCCGTCACAGCTGGTCCGGTCTGACACGGCGCGCGCGGCGGCACGTCGGCAACGTGGACGCGTATTCACGTTGCGAAACACGGCCGCAGCTTCGGTCTTCCGCCTTCCGAATATATTACGTGCGATTACAGTGGAGCTCGCGGTCGCGTAAAGCCCGCTTCTCACGCCGCGCGTCAGACCACCGTGCCTGGGCTGTGCACACGTGCGACCTCGTCTCGCGCTCCCTTACCCCCGCGGCACATAACCTAGAAATAAGCGCGTGGCTCGGGCCACGCTCGGGCACAGCGTGTCCCGAATGCGTTCCTCGCGTTTCACCGTGAAAACCACCGTGCACCGTGCATCGAGAGCCGGCGTAATTTTTTTCAGTGTATCGTTTGTACTGCAGATAACGCGTGGTAACGAGTGTCGAGCATTTTGGCTGAGTATTTTGTGCCATGGAAACTGGATATTTGAGATTTGCAGAAGAGGATTTCTTCCCCGACGAACTTTTTGCTGCGGCGCGAGATAACGAGGTAAGATCTCACCTGAACGTTATTTGGATAATGCGTTTGTACACGCCGTTAGAGCGTATGATAATAGAAAGACAAAATTAATTTCTACATTTATTCGACAATTTTAATCCTGCTGTTAGGAAACGAACTAGCCTTTCACCCTAATTGCTATCTGACATGGCAATCTTACGAAAGAGTTGCTATAACATACTCGTAATAAGAAAGCTTCATTTTTTTTTTTTAAATTGTTACATTTTTTAATCAATCTTCTGAAGGAAGAGAGATTCTGTGTATTTTTTTATGTTTAATACGTTTATATATTTTTTTTAATACAATCTAGATGAAAAATATTTTTTGTATTTGTAAGAAGTATTTGTTTAAAAATAATAAAATACAATTTGGATATAGTTAAGCGTATAAAAAACATACATATGGATAGAAAAATTTCTATTAATAAAAATTTTATGATAAAAATATAGGAGACAGAAACTTGAAAAATAGTAAGTAAAAAAGAGATAACAGCTTTATTAAGAAGAGATAAATTAAAGCAATAAAAAAAGGAATTTTTGTATGACAATATAGCAAGATTAGATAATAATAGAAAATATTTGAAAAAAGTAAATCAAATAATATTAACTGAGTGAAAATGAAATGGAGTTAGGAGAAAGTAAAGAAATAAAGATAAGAAAATTTTTAGAGATAAGAGAAATCCTTTCGAAAATGTTTAAAATTTTTAATATAAATTTTGTATTTTTACAATATTTTATATTTGCAAATTTAGATTTATCTATTTTTAGATGTATTTAATTATTTATTATATATATATATATATATATATATATACACATATATGTGTGTGTATGTGTGAATTTATTTCATAATGAAAATTTTTTGAAGCATTAAAATTAAAATATCTTAAAGAAATGTATTTTTAGTTTTTATATTTAGATATATTTTATATATCTTAAACAAATATATTTTTAGTTTTTATATTTCAAAATTTTTGTTTCTATAACTATGCTAAAATTATTTCAATTAAATAAATTTAAACGCACTATTTTTATCGAATCAGTCGAAACAATAAAATTACGAACTAATTAACAACAAAAAAGTATTAAATTTATATTTTAGTTTTATTCAATTGCGTTACAGTGATTGTACTAATTTAATAGAATTGGAATTTTCTGTAGATATCTTTTGTTTGTTCAAAGATATCGAATTTCCTTTTATTTTATTTTTTTGTAGATCCTATATCTATTATTGTTAACCTTTATCATTATTGAAATTTTCAACAATTAATTTTCTCTTTCTTTAATCAATTCTAAAGAGATAAAAAAAGGAAAGCAACCTCCCGCTTTCCTTTTTATCTCTTTAGAATTTATTTTAGTTATATTAAATTTTCTCGAATTTCCTTTTTTCCTCCAATGCACAATACATTTCTTAGGAATATTTGACTCCCAAAAATAAATTGATTAACTGCATTATGAGAAAACAAACAATTTTCTGAATGCTTTTTCTTTATTAACAATCGGAAAAATCACTCACTTTTTTTTTACGTTTTCAAATTTTCTTAAAATTCTATATAAAACTCTTGGGAATATTGTAAAGGTTAAGGTAACAAAAAAGAACACAAAGGTTCTTTTACCTGCCTCAGACCTCTGACTGTTCGGACTTAATATATTATTGAAAAGTTCGGAAATGTAACAGGAAACATAGAGGTTTCGTACGGTTAATGGTTATCCTACAATAACAAGAAAAGTAAAAGGAAGAAAAGATCCTAAAATTGATTTTGGTTTTGAGAATATAGAAATATATAGGATAAGCCAAGGCAACGGTTTTTACTGGATATATATCCGTACTCTAAAATAAAGTATTCAGTATTCTAGAATAATAATTCTTATTATTAAATAAATATAAATTTAATTATTTGATTCTACTTAAATATAATCTTCTAATGAAATAAAAATTAAAAAAAAAAATATTGGATTATATACACACTAATATTATACAATCAGCAAGCGAAGAATGATGAATAAAAAGAAGCAGATATGTATCTTCATTCAATTTTGAGTTATTGAATATGAATAATTTTATGAATAAGTAACAATTTTATTTGTCTAATGTTAAATGTTGGAAAATTAGCGGAGTTTATTGATATTGCATTTTTTTAGTGGAAAACAAATTGGATAACAGTAATTTTCTGACTTTTGCAGAATATTTAAATTCAATATCTATTTGTAGTGAATATTTAAATAATATATTTGTTATAGTATAAATGTTATAGTATAAATAATATAGTATAAATAATTTAATAATTTTCATTAATTATACTGCTATTGAAACAATTGTCTCAATATAAATTTTAACACAAATTTTCCCATAATTTTAAATAAAGTTATAATTATATTCAACGATTGAAAAAAAATGTAAGATTATAATATAAATATATATATATATATATATATATATATATATATTATATTGTAATTTATATTGTACTTTTTAGGCAAACGATCTATTTTGTTAATTGTCTTTTCTCCAATTTTAGAACAATTTTTGAGAATTTTCTTCATTAAGCTGCCATTAAACTTAATGAGTTATAAGTTTATATTTATTATATTATCTACGCCTTTTAAATATTTTATCTTTTTTATTCAATCTTTTAATGATTTAATGATTTCTTTGGACTGCGCATATTTTTATCGATCAGGAAGATTAAAGCTTCTTATTAAAGATAAACAGAAATAAGGTTTTTACATATGAACGTAAAAAATGATTGATATTCTATTAATCTTATTGGGTCGCGTTTATCATAAAATAAAGCAATAATTGACAAAAATTTTTAAAATATTAGACGTTTGAAAAAGAGCTTATATCTGTGAATCTTCTTTATCTTCCTTTTTGCAAGTTCTGATTTGTTATGCAAGAGTCATAATACATATATTCTACGTAATAAATAAGAAAACTTCTCTTTCAGTAGGACATACATGATTATTGCATGTTTAAAATCTCGATTTATGTGCTTTTGGAATGTAAAGTGAGATTTTGATATTTCCTGTTAGTAGTATACTTATTGTAATACATTGTACTTATCGCATAATACTAAATTTTTTATTAAATAAATAGTAAATGAAAAATTTTTTAATTTTTATTTGATTTGTCACTTAGTAATTCAATTTATTTATAATATTATATGGATTTAAAATAGACAAAAAATGGATAAATTATTGCAAAAAATATGAAATCATAATTCTAAATAATATTAAAATTTTTGAAACATTGTTCCATAAAATTATATATCCTTTTTTAATCATGTGTTTTTGGGGGAGGGGGAGGATACAGATAAAACTGATTTTTATAATTTTTTTAATTTCTTTAAAAATTAAGTGAATATTTTTTTATCATTTGATTTTAATAAATTATGATTCCGTCAAAATTTTACGAATAGCTGATTGAAAATGATTTTTTTAAAACATAAAATCGAGAAAAATCGCATTTTTTCTCTATAATTTTGTAATTGTATTTTTTTTCTTAATCTAATATAATAATACATTTGAATAATTTGAAATCTATATTGAATGGCAAAATTAATACTTTATGTATATTAACTGTAATTTATGTATATTGACTATATTAAAATATATATGCAATTAATATGACAAAATATAATAAAAAGTTCCATTTACAGCTTCAAACATTATCAACTGAAGATGTATCAACGAATGTAATAGATGTGGAACATATGGATTATAATTTAGAAGAAACTATCCCCCCGAGCTTTTTTACTTCTATTTTCAATGATGCAAAGTAAGTATATTATTTTTATTTAAAAATATTTTACATATTTAACATTGCAATACATTGTAAATATATTTAATTATTTTTTTAAACAGTTCCTCCACAGACATGTTAACTACAGTTGACAATACATTACCCTTTGAGGAAATTTTAAACAAAGACTCATATGTTACACAATGGCCAAATCAGGTTGAAACCTGGCCGCAAGTTGCAACTTGGGCACAGGTATATTTTTCTTATAATTGATTAATATTTTTTTTAATTGCATTTAAAATTATGCAAGAAGATATACATAATATAAAATTTTTTTAATTTATAGTCATTATGGGACTGTAGAAAAGAACCCGAGAACCTAAGTATATCTAATATGAATTTACTCCAAGAATCAACAAGTCCAATTCCTCAGATGAAAGTAAAGGAAGAAGAACAGAAAGATGGTTTGTTATTCACATTGATTGTTAAATCTTTTTTTATCATTTTGATTTTGACAATATGAAAAAGCAATTTTTTTTTGTAGTCAATATTAAGAAAGAATCTACATTTGGTTTAATCCATGATACAGAACAAGTTGATATAAAGATAAAAGCTAAACAAGAAATAGAAGTAAAAAAAGTTGATATAAAGATAAAAGCTAAACAAGAAATAGAAGTAAAAAAAGTTGATCGTAAAATTACTCCACCTTTATTACCTCAAAAGACATCTAAATTTATAAAGAAAGATGCAAATACCAAAAATAAAAATCAAAATGGAAAAGAAAAAAGAAAGAAGAAGGAAAACGTTTTTATAAATTCAATACTCAAATTGGAAGAGCCAGAAGATCATATAGATGTTGAAACTGTATTATCAGATAATCTGCCAGGTATTTAAATAAAACTAAGGAACTGTTATTATTATGAATGCTAGATAATTTAATTTACAATATAACAATTATTTCTAAGAATAAAATATAACAATTATTTCTAAGAATAAAATATAGTAATAAATAATTATAAATAATTCAAATTTAATTTTAAAAAATTTTAATTCTCCATATATAAGATAATATTTTAGAAGATAATGTTTTATTTTTTATTCAATATATTTTTTCCTTTCAATTTATGAAAATTTTTATTGAAAAATGAGAATATATTTTTTTATACTATATGAAATTTCTTTATGTAAGCAAGTTATACTCAGTTTAACAAATTTTATCTATTTAATATTGTTTAATTTTATTTTATTATTTATATATCGAAAGCAAATGTTCTTAAAATAAGGATATGTTTTTTTCGCCTATGTATAAAATTATTATGTAATAACAAATAATACAACACAAATAATACAACACAAAAAATAGTACAACACAAATAATATAACATTTTTCTAAAATTTATTTTTTAATTAGCGCTAGAAGCAGTTGATCTAAATAGTCTATTGGAACAATTTGAGGCTACTGAAAATTCAAATCTACAAAATCAACCGGCTATTAAAAATGATCGTACGCGTAATATGGAAACAAACAAAATAAGTCTTGTAACCAAGGAGTATTCTAGAATGACTGGTGTACCAGTAAAATCTGTTTCGCAAGCTTCTAGTCACCAGAAAGATGTACAGACAGCATTATCTAAAGATGTCATCGATAGGATAAAGGTTATTATCTTAATATATAGTCCATTCTTTCAGCAGGTTGATAATTTTTATTACAATTGTCTTTTTGAATTTTAGGCATCGGGACGTAAAAAGAGTATTCCGATAATACCCCCTATGCCAAATATACAAGATGGGAATCGTAGTAACAATGCACGAACGAATTCGACTACGCTTTCCCGTAATAAGACTTTAAAAACAAATCTTAATGACAAGACGGTAAGTTCTTCCCATAAATGTTATAACTTGAATATATACTTATATTAAATATATACTTATGCAATTAATTGTCTCATATATCGACTGTTGTCGCAAAATCTTTGATTTAAAATAATTTATGAAATAATTCTTTTTTTTTTAGATAAACAATATTAAGGATAAGACATTTACTAATACTTTAAAACATGATCACGATTATTGCAGTAGCTACTCCAAGTGCAGTAATAATAGTAAGTATGATAACAACAAAAAATATCCCAATTAAAATAATAAAACTTATGTTATTAACTATTATCATCTTTTTCTGTAGAATTAACGAAACAAATGTCTATATTAAAATCAAATAAAAAAAGGATCTTGGACAAAACCAAAGAATGTAACAATGAGATTAATTCAAAGAAACAATACAATCTGGAATCTAACATACATTCCACTCGTGTAAAATCATCATCGATTCATCCAGAAACAAATATAAATAAAAATTCTGTTGAAAATGATATCAGAAACCATCCAAAGGAGGAGATTCCTTTGAAGCAGTCTCACGATTCAAATGATTCATTGGGATCTGTTAAAAATGTTCCGGACAATACCTCTCTTTCGGACAAGACTTGTCCCGTGTATCAAATGAACATTCGTTCAGCTTTGGCTAAAAGTATTTTACAATCGCGTAAAAAGCTGAATGATACAACACTTGCACAAACAATTCCTAAAAAGCAGCAGATGGTATCTGTGTTGAAAAATCCACCAAATGCATCGCAATCACCGTTCACAAGAAATAATTCTAACGAAAATATAGTGACCACTACAAATAGCTTAAATAATGAAGTACAAAATATAATTATACAAAATATTCAAGACATACAGCCGCCTGAAGAAGTAAAAAATCCACCTCGCAAGAAATTAAATCTAGCAGAATATCGCAGTAGGAAGAATCAAAACTGTACTGACAGTAGTAAAACAGCTTCTCCCACAGTATTAGTATACTATCATCATGCTTTCACTACAACAGAACCAATCAAAGATAAGACCGGAAATTTAATTTGGAGTGAAAGAAACTTTTTTTTAGTCTTAAAAAATAAATCCGATATAAAAGAAGAACAAAACAAGGCGAAACCAGATACTTGCAATGTAGCAGTACAAACGAATGAAAATGTTTTTGAACTTGATAAAAAATTATCAGTAGATGTTATAAAGAAGAATGAAGAAAGGTAAGACATCAAATATTACTATTATTAACTTTATTAAGATTTATTAGATTGAAATTTTCTTGCTCAAATTTTCCAAGTCTAATAGAAGTCAATTGTCCAAATATTGCAAATAATAATATAAAAAGTAAGTAATAGTAAAAAAATATTCTTTATTAAATAATGATGCAGTATATTGCAATAATAAATACACGTATGTTTTAGAAAAAATTCTTTGAAAATTATAACCAATTTAAATATATTCAGTATAATTTCTTATATATTATATTCTCCCCCCCCGAAAAAAATTATAAAATTTTGCAAAATCTATATCATCCTAATTATTATAATTTATATGTTACAGTAGAGAGGAAAGTACAAAGGATGGCAAACAAAAATCCTGCGAAAGATACAGTCGATCCCGATCGAAAAGCAGAAGTAAAAACAAGAGCAGAAGCAGAAGCAAAAATAGGAGTAGAAGCAAAAGCAGGAGTAGAAACAGAAGCAGGAGTACAAGTACAAGCAGGAGTAGAAGTAGATGCAGAAGTAGAGACAGAAGAAGAAATAGAAGCAAAAACAGAAGTCGAAGCAACAGGATTAGAAGCAGACACATGAACAGAAATAGAAGTTCTACTTCGAATAGTAGCAGCAGAAGTAGAAACAGAACTAGGAGTAGAAGTAGAAGTAGATCTCGACGTAACAACACCCGCGAACGGACAATAAGTCGACGCTCCGTCAGCTCAAGCAGTTGGTCATCTGATTTACGCACATCCACATCAAGATATACGTCTTCACGTTCCAGATCTCGATCCCGAATTCGATCTCGATCTCCACTTCAATCTCGATTTAGAAATCGATCTCGATCTCGATCTAAATCTTACTCGCGATATTATTCCAGATCAAGGTAAGTAATAAAGTGAGAGAAAATGGAAAAATATATATATGATTTTATAAATAAAAATATATATGATTTTTAAATAGAGGAATAATGACTTACTCACTAACTAACTTATGAAAAATTTTTAAATTATTATAACTTTAAAATTATTAATTTTTTAATAAAAAAAAAAAGAAAGATTCCACGTTATACACCAAAAATCTGTTACGATTAAAATTGCAAGTCGAGATTTTATATAAGTTTAATTATTTTGATAAGCATTTTCTTCAATCAGAATTATATTATATATGAAAATAAAGAAACATTAACTCGTAAACAAATCAAATTAATTTATCCAGAAATATTAAACATTTTTATAAAAATGTCATTTTAGTTCTTCCTCTCGTTCAAATTTCGGAAGGAATAAATGGAAAACAAAATATTCAAGGAATAGTAATGACTACAAAAGAGATTTTCATAGACATAGCAGATATCCTAATGAAGATCATGGCTATCAAAATTATAGGTAAAACATGATTTTTTAAATATATAAACATATTTTCTGATATAGAAACAAATATTTGTTTAATATATTTTCTACATTTTATTACGTTGCATTTGATTCTAAATAACGTGTTGCCAATTAAAAATTTTGTTTTTACAACATTTTATAATTAATTTGACACATTCTTTCGGCATCTAATCTTTTTAATTTTTAAATGTGAATATTTGATATTTAATGAATTTGATATTCATAAATTTGATAAATAATATAATAATAATTAATTTGACGCACGCACACATATTGAATTTATAATAAAATTCAATTAATATAGCCATCTTTTAAATCTTTAAACAATCTCTAAAAAGATTTTTTCATTATTTTTATAATTTGTTTATAATAGGTCACCACTGTATACTTATCACAGACCTTATAATGGATATAACGAAGACAAGCAGAGACAAGTGGAAGAACGAAGGGTGGTATATGTGGGACAGATAGCCGAAGGAATTACCAAAGCCGATTTGCGAAGAAGATTTGAGGTCTTCGGACCGGTTGTAGATATTAGTATACATTTTCGCGAACGCGGGTATGTATCTTTAATAATCTTTACTGTCCGTTTTATTTATTTAGTTCTTTTTTTAATTACATTGT